CTGCTGCTGCTGCTGCTGCTGTTGCTGCTGCTGCTGCTGTTGCTGCTGCTGCTGTTGTTGCTGCTTCTTCTTGTCCTTCATTTTGGCTTATTTATTCGCTGACTTATTTAGCACTCGAAAGTATGCAACGATTCGAGCCCCAGCCCTTTGGCGACTGTTACAGATTGCACTCGATTTGATTGCCATCGAAGCTCAATTTACATTTGCAATTGCCACTCCGACAGCGACTGCAACTGCGACTGCCAATTCGAACTCGAACTCGCACTTGCCTTTAAGCTCCATTTGATCGAGCTATTAACAGTGGCTGCCTCTGCCACTCGACCCCCCAACTGGCTGAAAGTTCATGTCAGCATGTGAACCGCATGTTAAATTTATGCTGCAAATCGTAACAAGAATTTTAAACACTTTTGCGTGCATAAACAACTTTTGTTTTCCCATATGCAATGAAACTTTGCTCTTTTGGTTGGCGCCCACGCTCAGAAATATTGTTGTTGCTGTTGTTGTTGTTGTTGTTGTTGTCCGGCTACGATGTGTCAACAAATTGGCAACACTTTGACCACAACTGTAAATGTGTTGCATATATAGTACAGGGTATAGCAGGGTATATGATGGCCGTGTAGAGCACACTATACGGGATGTACTTCTTGAGACTGACATAGTCAAATTTAGTACAGGGTATAGTGAAGAGCCCTCAAGTTTAGCAAAGTATTTAATAGAGGATAATAAACTGGAGAGAGCTTTCCATAACTTCAATTGATTCACTATAATACAGGGTATCGCAAGGAGCTAAGTGTCATCAAATGTACGAATTAAGTTATATACAGCACCTTGGCAAGGATTCAGAGCAAGATATAATACAGAGTATACATAACTATTCCTCAGCTATCATAATGTACCACTATATTACAGGGTATGTTACAGAGAATGACATAAGCTAGTCCAGTACTGAAGAAGAAGGTTAAATATTTACAAAATGAGTAGATATTCATACCCGCACATCTATAAGGGTATACTTAAGTAGATCTATTTTACAAGCTTTGTCTTCATCTATTCATGATATAGTAAAGGGAATACCTAAGTAAATTTATACCACAAGTCTTGTCTTCAACTATCTATCTCTTCATCTATTCATGATATAGTGAAGGGAATATCTAAGTAAATCTGTTCTACAAGCTTTATTTTTATCTATCTATCTATTTCTTCATCTATCCATGGCATAGTAAAGGGAATACCTAAGTAAATCTATTCTACAAGGTTCATCTTCATCTATCTAGCACTTTATCTATCCATGATATAGTAAAGGGAATACCTAAGTAAATTTGTTCTACAAGGTTAATCTTCATCTATCTATCCCTTCATCTATCCATGATATAGTAAAGGAAATACCTAAGTAAATCTTCATTCCCTTTGACATATATACCTTTCTATCCAACAATTTTGATGCAGATGCAGCAGCAACAGCTCTATCATGCACATACAGGGTATACGCTAGTCTAGCATACGTATGCCGAAATTGACAAGTGAATTGTGTTCGAATTGCTGATAGTTTTCGCATTGGAATTCGAATTATTTATTTTGACTAGCGTGCGTGTGAGTCGAAGGTCGAATGCGAAATTAAAATTCTATTTTCCTATTTGAAATTTCGCTCCGAGATTTATTTATTTTTAATTCAATGTACAAATGTTGATAAATGCTTCTGAAATCGCTGCCGCCTTCTCCACCTCCAGCTGAACCATGACCATCGACCCGTTCCGAACTCCTAACCAGCCCAACCCAACCAGCCCAACCAGCATAAATACAATTTGCTTTCTGCTTTCGCTGCGCCTTGATTAATGATACGAACTGAGATTAATGTTGCTGCTGTTGCTGTTGATGCTGTTGATGGTGTTGATGGTGTTGATGGTGTTGCTGCTGCTGCTGGTGTTGCTGTTGACGTTGCTGTTGTTGCTGCTGTATTTGCTGTTGATGTGCTGTTGTTGCTGTGCCGCTATTCTTATTGCTGAAGTCTGAATTGCTGATGTCGCTTCTGCTGCTGCTGTTGTTGACGTTGCTGTCGCTTCTGCTGCTGTTGCTGGTGCTATTGCTGTTCATGTTGCTGTTGTTGCTGTCGATGCTGTTGTTGTTGCTGTTATAGTTGTGGCTATTGTTGAAGTCTAAGTTGATGATGTCCCTTCTGCTGCTATTGCTGCTGCTGATGCTGTTGGTGTTACTACTGCTACTGCTGGTGTTGCTGTTATTGCTGTCGCTGCTGGTCTTCTTGCTGTCGCATCTTCTGCTGTTGCTGATGATGTTGATAGTGTTTTTGCTGCTCATGTTGCCATTGCTGCTGTCTTTGCTGCTGAAGCTGCTGTTGTTGCTATGGCTATTATTATTGCTGAAGTCTAGATTGCTGATGTCTCTTCTGCTGCTGTTGCTGTAACACTTGCTGCTGCTATTGCTGCTGCTGATGCTGTTGATGGTGCTACAACTGCTGCTGCTGTTTTTGCCGTTGTTGCTGTTGATGTTGCTATTGCTGCTGATGCTGATGCTGTGGATGGTGTTACTGCTGCAGCTAGTATTGCTGTAGATGATGCTGATGTTGCTGTGGCTATTCCTATAGTTGAAGTTTAAATTGCAGATGTCGCTTCTGCTGCTGTTGCTGTTGCTGTTGGTGTTACTACTGCTGCTGCTGGTGTTGCTGTTATTGCTGTCGCTGCTGCTGCTTTTGCTGATGCTGTTGATGGTGTTGTTGCTGTTGATTTGGCTGTTGTTGCTGTAGCTATTCTTACTGTTGAAGTCTGAATTGCTGATGTCGCTTCTGCTGTTGTTGCTGATGATGTTGATAGTGTTGTTGCTGTTCATGTTGCTATTGCTGCTGTCGATGCTGCTGAAGTTGCTGTTGTTGCTGTGGCTATTATTATTGCTGATGTCGCTTCTGCTGCTGTTGCTGTAACACTTCCTGTTGCTGTTGTTCTTGTTGTTGTTCCTGTGGCAGATGTCGCTCCTGCTGCTGGTGTTGTTGTTGCTGCTAATGCTGCTGTTGTTGATGCTTTTCTCATGACTGCAACTTATACAAATATTGTTGTTGCTATTCCTATGACTGTTGCAGCACTTACTGTTGCTGTTGACAATGTTAGTCTTGGTGTTGATGTGTCCATTGTTGCTGAGGTTAGTATTGCTGCTGCTGTTGGTGCTGATGTTAGTGTTGTTGCTGTTGCTGCTGTTCTTGGTATGTCTTCCGCTGCCCTTGCTGGGGCCAGTATTGCTGCTGTTACTGTTATTGCTGTGTTTTTGGTAGAGTTGCTCGCGAGGAATGTTGCTGTAGCTGCATTGCTGCTGCTGTTGCTTCAAATGTTATTGCTGTTGCCAAGTCCGCTGTTGCTGTTTCTGCTTTAGCTACTGCTCTCTCTATTCCTGATAGTACAGCTGCTGCTGCTGCTGCTGTTGATGTTTCCGTTTATTGTTGCTGCTGCTACTATTTTCATTTCTATGAATGCTCTTATTATTGCTGCACTCACTGTTGCAGTCGCTGTTGCAGTCGCTGTTGCTGTTGCTGTTGCTGTTGCTGCATCAATTTAGATTGCTGCTGTCACGCCCCACTGCAATTCGAATAGCTATCGACCCTTTTAACTACCCAAACTATTCGTTGCCGTTGGCTGTTGGCCATGATTGCTCTGATAAGCAAATTTGAGATGCGTGAAGCGCGTAATTCAAAATGGGCCCACAGGTCGTATGCGTGACGTATGCCGCTTCCTCTATCAAATTGCTATAAATTGCTTGAAATTGACTTAAAGCCTGCAAATGGAAATGCCGTATGAGAAATTTAGAGAAAATCGCAGTTTAATAGTGATTATTAGAGAATATGGTTAACGATATTTATCGATTTTTATAAGCAATTGTTGTTGAAATAAGTCGAAGAAACCTATTGAAACTTAGATTGGGGAATAGAAATATGCCATGAAATAGCTTAGTTTAGTTATAGCTCCGTATGAGTACAGCCTAGCGATAACGCCATATTTCTCGATTAAATGAAAAATTGCTTATATTTATGTAATTCCCATAAAATATTGTCAAATCCTTACATATATATTTGATTCGATTTGATTTCAGGATCCAAAAATCTTGGATAAAGTAACCAAAAAGAATGGCACGAATATACAGGAACTGGATAAACGTTCGCTCACCATATGCTCGAACACGGACTATATCAATATAACATATCATCATGTTATTTGCCCCGATGCAGCAACAGCCAAGGTATAGTAGTTTCGCTGAACGATGCTCAGCGAGTGGCTCGGGAGAGTGTCAGGAGAGATCATTTGGCTCATTTGGATCATATTCAAGCATTTGCATAACTCTCTGTACTTATAGATCTGGCTAGATGGCATACGAAAAATAACACATAATGTCAAAGCGAACAATATCTGTCCGATGATGTGTCTGAGAAAACAGTAAGTGAACTCTGGCAGTTCCCGCACGAATTTCGAATAGACGCACCATATAATACCCTCTGTTTCTCTCGATCTCTGTGTTCGTCTTCGAGCATATATAAACAAGATGTGCTTTACTTTATATATATTTTATACTCTGCGATGTTACAGCACGGTGCAACTTTGCTTTCTTCACAAACACATACATCACACATATATCCACATTTATCTATATAGCTCATATCACATATCTATGGATTATATAATCAACTGGATGTATCTGTACATAATTCTGTTCATATTGTTTTCTAATTTGCATGTCTTGCGCCTTGTTTTTGTTCTTATCGTTATTGTTATTGTGTTGTCGTTAATCGTTAATCGTTATCCTGTTATCGGGTTATCGATAACAACCGATCAGAGCTGGCAAAAAAACTTGCGACTCATAACGCATAACAATCGCGCCACCAACGTGTGCCCACGCACCAATCTAATGAAACAGTAAGTCACTCAACTAATTTACCCATCGAAATCTATCGAAATTGCATCGATAATATTGCCAGTCTATCGATCTGTGAACTCTTATCTGGTAAGTATTACGTCAAGTCACAATTGGCAAGGTATTCAAGCGGGGTAAATGAGATATTCCATTGAGATAGATATAGATTCAATATAGATTGTATGCCTAGCCGAACTTGTACGATAACTGCTGGAGAAGTTTGTTCCACAACTGAAATCCAAAACTCTAAGAGGAAGCTGGGATGAGCTGAGACATCGCAGGAAATAAGAAACAGCTAATAAAGACAAATAGACTTTGGCATACAAGAGTAAATACATCTCTGTATATCTCTCTCTCTCTATATATATATGTATATGTATATGGTATATATTTATGGCACTGCGAAGCAAATTAAGCGCATCGCATAGAGAACGAGAACATTGCAATTTGTATATTATTATTGCTAGCAAATAGTCTAAACAAATCGCGTCTGGTGGGTGTCGGGCAGGTGGGCAGCGGAAACGGAAACGACCTCATCAGCTGCCACCTAACCTCACTTGGGCAAAGCAAGGCGAAACGAAGAACAGATAAACAACTGTAAAACACACAAAAATTTCATTACATTTGCATTCGAATGAAGCTATTTCCGTTCACTAAAACTGTAAATATATATACTATATATATATATATATGTATATATCTCTATATGGATATGTAGTACATCTCTTGATTAATGACAAGGCGACTGACTGACTTACTGAACTTGTTTGATTGCCAACGAACTTGACTTTCGAGTTATAGCAAGTACAGCTGACTTTTGTAGCGCTTCTCTCCTGCGCTGCTTCTCTCGGCTGGCAGAGCTGCAGCCCAGTTGTTTCCCAATCACATTGTCTGGCTTCCGCTTGGCGAGCTGTTGTGGCACGAGTTAAGTTCAGTTCCTTCTGCTGCGCTTCTGCCTTTGCTAGGCCCCAAGTGGGCCGTCGTCTAACTTCTATCATGTCATCATTGCTCTCTTCATCGCTTCTCGCTTGCCTGGCAGTTCCTGGCGTCTATGATAGCTACTCTCTTTTTGTCTCTACTCTGATTTTATTTCAAGGTCTGCCCTTAACTTGACTTCTCTCGCACTGCTGCATCACTCGCCCGGCCGTTCTATCCATTTGCCTCGCACGTCTCTCTGCCGCGGCTGGATGTCCAAGGGCTGGCGAACCGGCGGCCGCAATTAAATGTTTGCATTGGCAATGCGTTGACCCAGTTTGCAAAAATTGTTATGGTTGATTGTTAACTGTTGATTGTTCGCCTTATGGACTGGACTGGGACAGGGCAAGGTCTTCGGGCATTAACTGCAATTACTTGTCTAACTTAACCCTGGGCTAGCTTCGAATGAGGTTATTGGGTCTCTCGAGTGGCCAGACACACCCACACACACACACACACACACACACCTGCACAGGTGTAGCACACGCAAATCCAGCGCTAAGTAATGAATGTCCATCGCATGACCAACGAGTGTCCTGCACTGAGTGCGAGTGAAGGAGGTCAGCTCAAATTGAATTTAAGCTCAAGACATTCTTTTAAATGAATTGTTGCCGCCGCCAGCTGTAATGCACTTTCGCCTCATCGATCATCTGGGTTGCCAATTAATTGCCAATTGCCAATTGCGAATTGCGAATTGCGAATTGCAAATTACGAACTGCAATTACATTTTCAATATCGATTTTAATTACACTTTAATTTCGGCTCCCTTTCAATTGTATATGACCCATTGAGTTGGAAAATAAGTGCGCTCTTTTATGTGAATACCCCTTGGAGCACACTGCGAGATGTTAAGCCGTACGTATTTCGGCACGGATCTGAAGACCTTTAAGAACCCAAACCTAGTGTCATGGCGGAAGTATCATCTCTCTCTCTCACATCATTAATGAAACGATGTAATACAGATACCTCAGCATGTCCAAGAAGAAGACATAGAAGACATAGAGCTACTGCAAGGGTATCTCCTAGTCGAGCACACACTCAACTGAAACAGTCCTATTTGCTCTTGCGCTTTGTTCACTTATAGTTAAAGTGTTTCGAAAGCCTTCTCGAATTAAAGTAGAGTTTTATGTGAAATTATTTGGAATGGAATAATATACCTAGAAAGTACTTCTAGAAATTACTTTGACTGGGGATAGAGTTCAAGTGGAAATTGTTATGTATTGGGATGTAGACAGGAATTCTGGATCAAGGTATATATATTTTTCAAACTGAATCCTAAGACTGAGTTAAGCATTTCCTTTAGGATTATTCATTTCGAAGTAATTCTATTCACAATGAGTCTAAAGTCTACTCAATACCATCCAAATCATAACCAAGCCAATGCTCTACTCGCAGGTAAGATATAATCCACATCTACTCTAAATACTTTCTGCATGTACGTAATATCACAGTTGACATATTTATGTATCCATATATTGAGCCCTTTGTATTCAGTTCACTTGACTCAATTCTCGCTTTGATTCAATTCATTCAAGTTGGATGCGTCTCAGCTATTGTGTGGAGAAGAGTGGCAAGATACCAGTTAAGACGCTGGCCAAAACTTTCGCATCGGGCAAAACCGAGAAGCTGGTGTACACGTGCATCAAGGATGCGGGCCTGCCGGACGATAAGAATGCGACCATGACGAAGGAACAGTTCACGTTTGATAAGTTTTATGCGCTCTACCATAAGGTCTGTCCGCGCAACGATATCGAGGAGCTATTCACATCGATGTAAGTCAAAGTGCTCCCACATTCCTGGGAAATTTTTGGTCCTGTCTGATTGGTTTACTATAGTCAAAGATCTATTTAAACAGTGCCAACTATTTCGGTAGTGCCCGGTAAATCCCTTGATTCCCACTTTTTCCCGAATATCCAGTATTATAAGTAGTCACTCCACTTCATGAACTCTACAATTCTGAGAGTTCTTTAGTGACTTCATTCTCTTCCTTTCACATTTTAAAATTTCTCTTCCATTTTCCCTTATGCAGCACAAAGGGCAAACAGGATTTTATCAGTCTGGAACAGTTCATACAGTTCATGAACGAAAAGCAGCGCGATCCGCGCATGAACGAGATCCTCTATCCCCTATATGAGGAGAAACGCTGCACGGAGATTATCAATGACTATGAGAACGATGAGGAGAAGAAGAAGAACGGTAAGCGGCATATGAATGTGATCTAAATCCAGGCACATTTCTAAAACCCTTTTCCCTACTCTGCAGGACAACTCTCATTGGACGGGTTCAAGCGCTACCTGATGTCCGATGAGAATGCGCCGGTGTTTCTGGATCGCCTCGACTTCTATATGGAAATGGACCAGCCGTTGGCGCATTACTATATCAATAGTTCGCATAATACGTATTTGTCCGGACGTCAGATCGGCGGCAAGAGCTCCGTCGAAATGTACCGTCAGACTCTGCTCGCGGGCTGTCGTTGCGTTGAGCTGGATTGCTGGAACGGCAAGGGCGAGGATGAGGAGCCAATTGTTACTCACGGACACGCCTACTGTACGGAAATCTTGTTTAAGGTAAATAGAGAGAGAGAGAGGCAGTGGGCGAAGGTAAAGTTGCCTGAGCTAACATGCTTTTATCCCCTTCAGGATTGCATTCAGGCCATAGCGGATTGCGCTTTTGTGTCGTCGGAGTATCCGGTGATTCTGTCCTTCGAGAATCATTGCAATCGCGCGCAGCAATACAAATTAGCTAAATACTGTGATGACTTTTTTGGTGATCTGCTGCTGAAGGAGCCGCTGCCGGATCATCCGGTGGGTATCTTGGTGATTCGGCTAGAGGCCGCCGTGAGCTAATCAAGTTTGCTTAACAGCTCGATCCGGGTCTACCGCTGCCGCCGCCGTGCAAGCTAAAGCGCAAGATTCTCATCAAAAACAAACGCATGAAGCCCGAGGTGGAGAAGGTCGAGCTGGAGCTGTGGCTGAAGGGCGAACTGAAGACCGACGACGATCCCGAGGAGGATGCCAGCGCTGGCAAGCCGCCAGAGGCAGCGGCTGCCCCGGCGCCCGCCCCAGAGGCAGCTGCCGCCGATGCCGCCGCCGAGGGCGGGGGCGGTGCCGAGGCGGAAGCGGCTGCTGCCAACTACAGCGGCTCCACCACCAATGTGCATCCCTGGCTCTCATCCATGGTCAATTATGCGCAGCCCATCAAATTCCAGGGCTTCGACAAGGCAATCGGTAAGTGGGAGAGTGTGAATGGTATCTGTGGGAGTGAGAGAGCGAGAGAGTGAGAAAGAAGTATGTAGAGCTAGAGGAAAGAGCTACAGGTCTAAATAGCCAGGGAGAGTAAGGAAGATAATGAGATATCTAATGATGGTGAGACATAGAGAAAGAGAGAGAGAGAGAGGGAGTGAAAGAGAATGTGTAAAGAAAGAGTGAGAGAGATACAGGGAAGCAGATCAAGACTGAGAGAGTGAGAGAGAGAGAAAGAAAGATTGAGAGTGAGAGAGACAGAGAAAGAGAGTGAGAGAGAGTGAGAGAGACAGAGAAAGAGAATGAGAGAGAGAGAGAGAAAGAAAGATTGAGAGTGAGAGATAGAGTGAGAGAGACAGAGAAAGAGAGTGAGAGAGACAGAGAAAGACTGAGAGAGAGAGAGAGAGAGAGAGAGAGAGAGAGAGAGAGAGAGAGAGAGA